ATCTTCTCTTCATGTCTTATTTTTTTAAGTCAATCTGATGGGTTATTGTGTAATCTAATACTTCACGTTAATTCCTCTTGTCAAATTTATCCATATTACCACACAAAAAAGTGTTACTTTGACATCATAAATCGATCGCTGTTAGAACACCACCAGAAATTTGGAAGCATTGGACGGCCATTTCATCTCGGTATGGGACTAAATAGCAGTGCACATCAACGAATCCTGATACTCTCAGGATTCGATCCCAGGACCTTCGGACTGGTCGAAGTTAGACATGACCACCGTTAGATGCCAGCTTAATGGTACAAACGTTAAACGTTCGTGCATGAGACCAAAGATCCTGGATTCGAATCATGAGAGTAGCAGGACTTTCGGATGCACATTGTTGATAAGTTCGATACCAGGACGAACCGGCCGTCCAGTGATTGTAGGTTTCAAATGATGGTCTAACATTTACCGATGAATGATTTGAAACTGACTCAACAATCTCCACAACCCTATGATGCAAAATTTGTTAGTCAAACACTTTTTAAATATCATATAAATATATAAGAATACAAGAAATTTTATTTTCTGAACTGTTTACTGAATTTATTTTATTATTTTACCATTATCTATGTACTAAATAAACATAATTCTGTTGTTAGATACGTTACTCAACGAAATACTCATTGATTTCTATTTATCAAGGTAAATAAAATTTATCTGGTCGCAAAAACACTTTATTCTAAAGTTGGTTTGTTTTAAAAATCATCAACGAACTTCGTTGAGCAACACATGACCTTGAACTTTTGAGAGAAGTCGTACATCTTCATCATTTCCTAACGGAATTCAATCCTGTCTCATACATATAGCAGAAGTCATAAAATTGTGAACATTTAGTAGGAAGTCACGACACTAGTGTCTCTTCCTTGGCCGGATATAACTGAATCTTGTTGTTATTTTTTAGCATTATTTTCACATCATGTATTTGTCGGTCACTCTTCTTCACCTCTTTCCGTGCATAAGCTTCATCATCTGATTACTTTTACAGTCTTTTTATTACGTAATCTTAATAGAGCATTCGAATTGTACTTAACGATAATTACAGAGTTACTCAGTAAAATCGGAAATCCATATCGTAAATCGTTAATTTGCAAAACATCAGTCCATCATATCGAACTGGACTGTCCTTGTTGCAAAACATCAATCCATTGTCACTATTCATGCGTTTCACACAAATTCCATTATGTTCTAACTCTTCCTTTCTTGATCTTCCCCCATCTTTTGCTGCCAGACATTACGTTGACACTCACGTCATATACTACTTATAAGTAGCTGGTACCACACTTCTATCAAAACGTACTTTTAGCTAATTATGTGTAGCTACGTAATTATTTTCATTTTAATGATTGACGCATTAATCGCCTTAATCAAAAGCTTGAAGCATTTCATAAATGTTTATTCATGCCTAATTGTATTGAGCTGGCTCGCCTGCCTTCTCCAGCTCCCTTCGCTTCGCTTCGCTGTGACGCTCTATATTCTCATGTCTGTCAGCATGAACAATCGAATCCTTACTTGGCTTCTTATTACCACCCTCGCACATATAAGGAGTTTGCATCGCTAAAAGTAATGAGTCCTGCTTCGAATTCAACGCAGCCAGTGAATGGTACACAAGATCATGATACCTCATATTACGTAAGTGTATATACATATATATCGATCTGGTCTAGACTTACCTTTCTCCTACTTATAACAATTCAGTGACATCATCGTCAACTAATCGTTGATCGACACTGCCTTGAATTACTGTTGTTGTTGTAGTTGGTGTTGGTGTTGGTGTTGTTGTGGATGTATCAGTTTTGTTCGGATTATCTTCACATCGTTCACCTTTTAATAATTGTTCCATAAGTAATCGATATGATCCTTTTGCTTCTTTCATGATATCTATTTGTAATGATCGTTGTCGATAACCTAAGTTATTAAAAGTTTTTTTAATACATTGGTCAGTAAGTTTTAATCATTGATGAAAACATTAGATAAAGGTAAGATCTGATTTCTGAGCCTTTCCAAATAACCTTAGATTAAATCAACATGTCAATTTGAATACAAGAGGAAAAGTGTGAAATTAGCAAAAATGATTAAATCTAAAGTTGGTTGGTGGGATTTTAAAAAATTGAGTTACACATGACTTATTGTAGAGTCATAGTGCCCCCCGTCAATCCGCGGTGGGCTGTGCATGGAGTAGTGGAGTGCTCCTAACATCTAGAAATTTGGAGGCTAGGGGGTAAGATCTTGCGGGTCAAACAGTTCTGGCTGGTTGTTACTCAGGTTGATCAGGAGTCCACTCTAACCACAGAGACGATATGGATGACTTGTTAGACGGTGGGTTGTCCAGGGAGGATCGGCAAAGAAAGGGCTGCATTTTTGTGAGTGAAAAATATCTGGAACTCCAAACAAATATCAATCAACACTAAAATCAGAATTTTCAATACAAATGTCAAGACTGTTCTACTGTATGGAGCGGAAACTTGGAGAACTACGAAAACCATCATCCAGAAGATACAAGTGTTTATTAACAGTTGTCTACGCAAAATACTTCGGATTCGTTGGCCAAACACCATCAGCAACAACGTACTGTGGGAGAGAACAAACCAGATTCCAGTGGAGGAGGAAATCAGGAAGAAGCGGTGGAAGTGGATAGGACTGCGAAAGCACCCGACTGCACCCCAGGACAAGCCCTTACATGGAACCCTCAAGGTCAAAGGAAAAGAAGGCCAAGGAACATATTACGCTGAGAAATAGAGACCAACATGAAAAGAATGAACTGAAATGAACTAGAAATGGAAGCCCAGGACAGATTTGGTTGGAGAAAACTGGTGGGCGACCTATGCTCCGTTTGGGGGTAACAGGCGTAAGTAAGTAAGTACAGGTTGTCCAGGTCGATGTCTCGTAGCACAGAAATAAAAGAACTCACTTTGGGATGAATTCAAGCAGAATCAGTCATCTATTTTGCTTCGCAGTAATGACCTCACTCATAAATGTTTGTTTTAACGATTACATAACTACAACAGTAATATCGTGTGTTTCGTTGTTTATTCTAGAATATTCTTGTGATTCAACTTACAAATACTCATATTATTTGGCATCTAAATATCATTTTTTCTGTTCATTTTGACTGTTTTCATTAAACCAGGCATAGCAATGACATCAAGACATCTTTTAAAACATGACACAGAAATGTTCAGCAATGAATTCTGAGGTTTATTGAAGCTTTAGCCTATTCGTAAATTTAAACTCCCCTTATGCGTACACAAACACTTTGTCATCATATTGAAATGATTCTGGTAATCTTTGAGATATTTTATGGCTTCGGGAAGTGTGACGACTTCGTATTCTTTCTGTACAGTGTTTATTTTCGCAATAATCACCTCATGTTTAATCGTGCTTTTATTTTTCACTTGACCTTTTGTTAAATGTTCCTATTAAAAAAAATGCCTTGACAAGGGTATGGGTGGGTGTGACCGCATTGTTCGAAATATATTTGGCACGCAAATACATGACAACTTTTTTTCAGATCGGCTAAATCGTCTCATTGTTCTATTAAAAATCTCTTCATTAATCTTTACTGATGAAAATGTTTCTAACATCTAAAGTAAGTACACTGGCGCCTTAATGAATAATACTGTTGTATATGGGAGTTCTCATTATACAGTTATGGAGATTGTAATTTTCTTATTGAAATCATGAACTAGTCAGTGTTAGACCGCCATTAGAAACCTTGATGCACTGGATGGCCGTTTCGTCCTAGTGTGTGACTAATCAGCAGTGCGCATTCACAAATCGCAGGATTCGAACCCAGGACGCTTAACCTCTGGACCACTGAGCAGGTATCTAATGTGCAAGACCAAGGCTCTTGGTTCAAATCCTTGCTCTATTCTTAAAAAATTATCAGGGTGAACAAAATTGCAGGAAATTAACGATGAATCAATCAACTGTGATCAGTGTCATTTGTGGTGGTGTTTTGTTCTCTGAACTGGATGTTTTGGTTGTGGAGCTTTCATTGTTCTTCTACTGAAAAACATCATCAGCACAAACTTCAGACAGAGAAGTGAAGTATTCCAATTCCTCACGTTTGACCCATAGCTTGTTCTGTTGACCTCGATCGTGATTAGTTGTTTTTGACCTTGAACCTGCTATTGTTTACACGTTTATTTGATTTTATCGACATTTTGACCTGTTTCTTGATCCTATGTCACCTATGATTTTCCTGATTGGTTGATAAATCGGGTCAACATGGATTTGTTTGTTGATTGCTGATTGACCCGAGTGTAAAGCTTCTAAAAATTCTAAGGTGTTTTTTGTCCTCTCCCTACCCAGTATTTCCAGAATATTCCAATTCAATATGTGTCCATTCTTGTCGGTGTGTATTGATCTAGGCGAAGAATCGTCGTGGCGTTTGATTGCTAATTGGTGTTCATGTAAACGAAGCTGAACAGGCCATCCACTTTGTCCTATGAAGTGTTTTGACTGGAACAATGTCGAAATACTGGATAGAGGGAGGAGGGAGAACACTAGAGAATTTTTAGAAGCTTGGCACTCAGGTCAATCAGCAATCAACGAACATATAAACATAGATCCAATCTATCAACAAATCAGAAAAATCATAGAAGACAGGATCAAGAAACAGGTCAAAATGTCGATACAATCAAAACAAAGGTGCAAACAACGACCAGTTTCAGGTCAATGCAACCAATCAAGATGAAGGTTAACAGAACAAGCTGCCGGTTAAACGTGGGTAAGCTCGAATACTAAAAATCTATCGGCAATTGTGCTCAGTAGAAGAACAATCAAAGCTCTACAACTAAGACATCTGCAGCTCCCAGAACGAAACACCACCACCACAGTCATCCACTTGAGCTACAAATTTCCTCCACCATTTCAAACTTAGTATCATTATCTAAAACATACACACACACACACTAAATATCCCATAACTTATTTTTATTTTTCTAAAAGAAATTTACTCACCTTTAGGATCTTCTTTCATTAAGACTGAGGAAAGATAAAGAATAGAAATAAATAGAAAAACAGATTATGTTTTAACATGAAAAGAACAATGAATTATCGAAATCGGAAGAGATAAATTAATTTTCCGTCTTGTTTGGTCAACTTTAGGTTGATGTAATCATCCGGTAAAGTACTGGATGGTTGACTTGCCCTGGTTTGGGACTCATCAATAGTGTACATCCAGGAGTTCCACTATTCACAGGATTGCAATTCAGGATCTTCTGTCTTGCACATTAGATGCCGGACAATGAGTCGACATCTAAAGGTGTTAATGTCTGATTTCGATCAATCCACGGTCCTGTGTAATCTCTTACCCACTGTCTTCGGTGAGCACCGCTCAACAGTATTAATGGTGTTATACAGAAATAGTGAACAACTGTTAGTTTGATTGAAAAAATTACAGTAGTGACTAGCTTCATGAATCGATTCTAGTGAGAAGACGTGACCAGTGGAGCTACGCCCTGTTGGGTGTCGGCAGTAACTACCGAAGACAGGGGATGAGGTTGTGCAAAATCCTTAGATTGACCAGAGCTAGTTCGAATCTTGCGAATAGCAGGAATCATGGATTCGCACTGCTGATGAGTCCCATACTAGGACGAAACTACCGTCCACGATCTCGTGCAACCTCATCCATTCATTTTGGCTGTCACTGTTTCACACCCGAACAAGATTGATCACCAATGGTCAGGATTTCTTACTAGATTTCAGAGAAACATCCCTACGGAGTGAATCGATTCGTGATTTCAAAGTAACTTAAAAATCTCCAGGATTCGAACCCAGCATCTTCGGTATTGTAGGCGAACGCTTAACCATCGGACCACTGGGCCGGTGTATCTAACGGTGTTAATGTCTAACTTGATCAAATTCACGGAGTTGCGCAACCTCATACACAGTCTTCGGTAGTAGTTACTGTCTACACACTTGAACAGGTTAAACTTCACTGGTGGTCACATCTTCCCACCACTAGAACTCGGAGAAGATTATTCCTCACGAAGCTAGTCACTAGTGAGCACAGGTTATTTGCATTAAAAATTATCTGATCACAAAAAAAAAAATAGAAAGAAGAATAAACAACAACTCACCTTGATCATAAGCTTTTTTCAATAAATAAATCTCTGTATTATTACAACAACAAATTATATCAGTCATGATTTGATAATTTGATCCAAGATTTTTCATTCCTTTGTATAAATCATTTGCTAAAATTTCCATTGGATTACGAAATAACGTTTTAACGAGACTATCATAACTGCCAAGTAATACAGAACCAATATGTTCAGTGATATCCTATTTGAAAAAAATAATAAGATGAAAAGAAAGTGTAAGGTATGCATGTCAGTAAAAATGTTAAATACGAATGAATATGCATTACGGGGTTGTGAAGATTGTTAAGTTACACACGTTTTTGAAACCATCATGGTTAGGCGTTCGCGCTTAATACCGAAGGTCTTGGGTGCGAATCCTGCGAGGTGCAGGAGTCGTGGATGCGTACTGCTGAGGAGTCCCATACAAGGACGAAACGGCTGTCTTTCAGGGCTTCCAGGTTTCTTCGAATGGTGATCTAACATTGATCGATTCATGGTTTCAGAAATGTGTAAATACGAATATATTTCGTTTGTTAGCCTTAATGCAACGTAGCTCCCCCCAGAATGTGTCTTTATGCCTCGCAACCAACCAAATCGTCTTGAAGATACTGTAAGGAGAAAAGATTCTATCTGGAGTGATGTTCAGTACACAATAATAGGACTTTTTTCACCAATGAAGCTAACCTATCGATCGATTGACTTACTATGAAGAGTATGATTTGAGAAAAGTAACATCGCGGCACATCACTGACTAGTTTTCGACTAGTCAACACTCTCAAAAAGCGTTTTATAGGTTTTAAATACCATTTTTATTGAAGTCATGAGTTGATTTAAGTTAGACCACCGTTAGAAAATCGGAAGTGGTGGACAGTAGTGTCGTTCTATTGCGGGATTAAATTACCAGTGCACAGCCACGAACCCCAAGTTGGTGTCAAACCTAGGACTATTGGTTTTATACATGAACGCTTCACCTCGAGACCAGCGAATCAGCATCCAATGATACTCATGTCTAGCTACAATCAATCCATCATATTGAGCAACCTTCATCGATTGTCTCATAACCGACACGAATTGAACTCTTTTGACACGACTTCTCACTAGTAGTTCAGGAATATATCATGCAGTTAGTCACTAACGAGCACATGATTGATATTAATGAACGGGATAAGCAAAGATCGTTCTATTTTCATATTTTAGAGTGTTTTCAAATTAAAATCATTCGCATTTACCGAATAGATCAATTCAGTATTTTAAATCATCATAACATGTTTGCGAAATCACATTATGTTGAACAAATCGAATTCCGGACAATTTATAATTCACTATTAGTTATTACCTCAGTTAGTAAATCAATTTAAACCATACAAGAAACAATTCATTTCGTATAATTAAGTGGGTTCAAAAGAAATTCAATCATATCAACATCTGAATGACACACAATTTCATTAATATACAAGTGTGAATGATTGTAGAAATATGATAATTGTAATATGTGTTAGGGATGTTAGATCCTTAGAACTCACTTGGAAAAGTTCCTAGGTTTGTTAATTTATTTCTAAAATTTTGAATATTTATGTTTTCTCGCCAGGAGACGCTTAGTTGACCTTCGGCTTGTATTTCCCACTCGGAAAATCCTTGAATGTCATTGGTTTACGGATTATTTTAGTTTGCTTTTTTGACGTTTCTATCATTGTATAAATAAGCTTGAATTCTGTGAGTGTTAAGCTCGTATTTTCTAGGTACTTGTAGAATACAATTTCAACGCCTTATCAAGACTACTTGATCTAGTTAGCTGGGGCTGGGGCAATCGGATTAGAATAGCCTATCTTGTCACTGCATCATTTGTCTTTGCTCCATTTACCGATTATAAGGTGAACTCGTAGTAGTTTTAATCATATCGATTGACGAGCATATCAGTTGTGTCAATTGATGTTTTTCATTGAAATGATGAATCAGTCATTGTTATACTACCGATAGAAACGTTGATGCGCTGGACAGCCGTTTCGTCCAGGTATGGGACTCATCAGCAGTGCGCACTTAAGAGTCCCGCTACCAGGATCTCCGGTGATGCATACGAGCACTTAATCTCTGAACTACTAAGCTGCCTTCCAACAATGCTAATGTCTAACTTTGATCAGTCAGAAGGTCCTTGGTTCAAGTCCTGTGGATAATAGGATTCATGGATGTGCACTGCTGATAAGTTCCGTACGAGGACGAAATGACCTTCCAATACTTTCAGGTTTCTTCTGATTGAGATCTAACACTGATCGATTCATGATGGTATACATATTTTTCACTTTCGATAAATAAAGTTGCATTCAAGTCAAACAAGTAAGAAATTAAACTTATTGAAAGAAGCTTACTGTAGTATAGTTTGATGTTTTTTACTCTCAACTAATTATAACAAAAATACTAGATGGAAAAAAAGTAACCTTAATCACCCAATATTATTATTACTGATTTTTAAACTATGAATACCTTGTCATATAAACGTTTATATGCTTCTTGAATAGCTAAACGTTGTTGTAGACTTCTATGTCCAATTATTTCATTGATGACATCTTCATCAGGATCTAAGATAAAATAATAAATACAAGGTAAATAGTGAAGAACTGTCATAATATTTGAAATTACGTGTATCTGTTTATATATATATCACCAAATCAAAAAGCGTTTCGAAAATCTGTATTACGGGGTTGTGAAGATTGTTAATTTTTTTCTAAACCATAAATAGATCAATGTTAGACCACCATTAAAAACCTGGAAGCACTAGACGGCCGTTTCATCCTTGTATGAAACTCCTCAACAGTGCGCATCCACGACTCTTGCACCTCGCAGGATTCGAACCCAGGATCTTCAGTCTTGTGCGAGAACGCCTAACCACAAAATGGCTGTCTAACAGCCTTCAAACATGATATATTTGGAAATTTCTCTACTTTTTATCAGTGAAAAGTTGAGAAAATACTGTTTTATTGTATTGTAGGTAAGGAACAGTAATATTTGATGACTGAGTAACATAAAGAACTGGTTGGTATGAATTGCTCGTGTAGTTATGTAAAATAAGTTAATCAGTCAGTTGCAACATAGAAATTCGAACGTAAGTCGATCAGTTCAGGTTGCCATACCGCATTAGCACAAGGAAGCAGTTGTCACTTCAAATCCAAGAGTGATAGCAATAATAGAAGTATTAGCAGTAATGGAGAAGATTAGGGAGCGAAGATATGATTCGAGAAGTATAATTCAGTGAGATAAATTTAGAAAGAGTAAGATAGATGTGATGACGAATTCAGAAGATTAGAATTTCATCGAACATAATGAATGAATACACCTGCGCCACTGCAAACAATTCTGAGCCATGTCATTCGTATAAGGTATCTAAACATTGGTGAGTTTCGCCTCGCGGACACCAACCAAGTAGCCTGCACCTACCAACATGACTCAGTCTAGCTGTCAGTGACTTTATGGATTTGTGCCATGTTTTGGTTTGGCCACCCCTAGATTACCTCCAACCTACCCTTACACCACAAAACATTAGCTTGTCGAAGCAGTCAGTGGATGGGCATTCATAACACATATCCTAAACACCTCAACTGATGAAGTTTCACTACTTCATTTATTGATTTACTATTCCTACCTAGTACTCGTTTCCCCTAACAACAGTATGATTACTTATTAAAATAAGTTAATTAGTTGACACAAATGATTCTTAGAAAAGAATCAGGACATTAAAATTGTTTGTTTACAGTGATTTCGTTATCTTTCTAGGCTCTGACAAATTTTGAAACTGAACTGATCTATAAAATGTTTACTCTGAAACAGTTGTTTAGAGAAATACTGAAAGATGTACAATTATACTATGCAACTTAGGTAAGGAATTTGTTAGCTTTCTCTTAATCTCAAAACTTGAGATTTTGAATTACATTTTAAAAGATGAGATTTATCGATCAAGATGTATATATATATATATATATATATATATATATATATTTCAATGCTACGATATACACCTCGTTTTTACTCTGTTTGATACCAAAATGAAATAAAAATTGTGATTATCTCACTAAATAAAATTAGATAGTCATAGTATTCTCGTTTTACTGTATGATCTTGTTTTCTTCAGTAATAGTAGAGCGTTGAATGAAAGATTTGTTCAAATCATAGTTGATAAGAATTATACATTGAGATGATGGAGAAAATTTGTAGCCCAAGGGGAGTTTCGTTCTCTGAGCTGAAGATGTTATGGTTGTGAAGCTTTCATGATTGTTCTTCGTTTTAACAACATCATCAGCACAAACTTCAGTTTCAAGTGATATTATTCGGAACTAGAAACAATGATGAAAGCTCCACAACCAAAACATCCAAGGCTCAAACGAAGAAATTCCAGCACTAAGAATTATATCTGATTGCTAACTGAAATCCGGTGATTATTTCAAACATACATATATGGTCAGAGATATTACATATAATATCTCATTAAAATTCCATCTAGCTAGAAATAAATTCAACTTTTCATAATATCTGTCGATCAAAGAATAATTATCTGTATTCATGGTTATGAATTGTTATGTTACTGAAATGTAGTCAGATGGAACAATTTGAAACCAACTGTCTCATGAAACACTGGAACTACATAATTACAACTGTTTTGTTCTTAATAAACTGTAACTTAGAGTTAACAATCGATGTAAGGAACATAGTGTCTTTAGACTACCAACCTAGCTTTTCATGATTCCTAACTTTCATTGATGCTTATTCGACAATACTATACGGACATCATCAACACATCGCCATCTCAAATTTATTAGCTATTTGCATTCGGATCAGTAAGTCAAATGTTTCATAGCGAATGATTAGTATGAATTCATTTCATCATTGTAACGACTTCGATCATGGAATTTTTCAAAATACTTCAGTTACTACTAACGACTTTCTCTAATTTGAATTCATTTCTAAACAAACTACTAAATTATAAAATAAGTAACAAAATGACAAATTGTAAAAATTATCAGTTAAGCAGTAAATCACTAACTTATAATTTTGATAGATTTATTGATCCGTTCTGCATCTTTTTCAGGATTAATCACAGTGGATATTAATAGTTGGTCGTGGTTTAATTTGTTTACTAAAATGAAATAACATAATAAATGTAATTTGATTGAATAATGAATTTTAATTATGAGTTGAAATTATTCATATGAAATAAACTTATGATTCATTTAAGTACTAATCGATTTGAATATTTTTATGATAAATTGTATTCTTATCTGAAAATATAGTACAATGTAATAAAAATATGTACTTCTGATAATTTCAATTATCCTTCAGATTGATAACTTTCAAATAGTTCAATCTGAATTGCATATGTGTGGTGCGAGCTACTCATAAGTAGTATATTCCGTGAGTGTCAACGTAATGTCTGGCAGCAGAAGATGGGGGAAGATCAAGAAAGGAAGAGTTAGAAGAACACAATGGAATTTGTATGAAACGCATGAATAGTGTCAATGGATTGATGTTTTACAACAGGAACAGTCCAGTTCGATATGATGAACTGATATTTTGCAAAGTAACGATTTACGATATGGTTTTCGTATTTTACTGAGTAACTCTGTAGGCACTCAACTTAGTCTCCAGTCAAGCTCGAACTCGGGATACTTATGTTAGAAGAATAATGAAAAAGTGGATAGAACTGGAAAACAAGCCTAAAAACAGAGCAGACTGATCCGTCAGTCAGTTACCACGTAGAACTTTGTACGAACTTTCTTCGTTTCAGGTTATCGTGCCGCATTAGCACACCGATGCAATTGTCAATTCAGATCCCATATTAGCAGATGTATTAGTAATAATCGAAGAGATTAGGGTTCGAAGACATCATTCAAGAAGTATCATTCAGTGAAATAACTTTATTAAGAGAAAGATAGATATGATGAAGAATTCAGAATATTAGAATTTGAGAGAACACAACGAATAATTACACCAGCGCCATCGCAAATGATTTTGAGCCATGTCACTCAGGGTCTCCAACAATCGGTGACTTACGTCTCGCGAACATCAACCAAGTAGTCTACATCTACCGATATGACTGAGTTCACTTGTCATTGACTACATGGATTTGTGACAAGTTTTGGTCTGGCCCCCCTACCTTTCTTCCAACCTAATCCTACACTACAAAACAAAGCTCGTCCAGGCAGTCGGTGGTTAGGCATTTGTAACACATGTCCCAACCACCTCAACTGATGGAGTTTCACTACTTCGTCAAATGATCTGTTGTTGGGTAACAGACTGGACACAACATTATAATGATGTTATTGAAATGAAAAAAGACAGTTTTATAAATTATGTACAATTATTTTTTCCTAAATTAACAAACTGGCAATATGAATAGATTTTTTCACTCGCACACAAGCAACCGAAAATCATACAATTCATTTAAAGAGAAAATAAGGTTGTTTAACTTTGATGTGAAACCATAGGTATCATTTCATAATGACTATTTATACTACAGCGAATTACATGGTAGCCTTTATTTATGATCATTGAAAACATTGAAAATCTTTCAAATATTCATAGATCGTGATAAACTTTTTAACGTATAGCCTGTGTCTAGAATCTTCCCCTAATTATATAAACAAACTAATAATACAGTTTCAATAGTGAATTTTTAATTGTTTAAAAACTTTTAAAAAATATGAAGTCATTTTGATTTAATAATAATTTATCAATCACTTACCTAGATTCCATAATATTCCGAAAAAATGAAATTATAGAAAACTGACAAGTAGTAGTAGTAGTAGTGGTAGTAGTAGTATACTAACAAATTACACAATTAAACTCGTTTGATCAATGTGTTCAATATATATATATATAGGTCTGTAAAAGTTGATTACTTTTTTATTACTCTTCAATGTTCAATGTACTTTCGATTCTTTTGTTCTCAAATTGGTATTATTTTCTTCTTATTATTATTATCATCAATTTCTTGAAATAATTTCTATTTTTTTTTATTCACGCGAGTAATTATTGTGTTTTTTCAAGTTCTTGTGATCGGTTTTCCTTTTGTTTAAATGAAGTTGACTTTCTGTCACGTGAATGTATTGATTGATTACCGAGCGAGAATATTGACAATTGAATAGAGAGAGAATAGTAATGTGAATTTTTTGTTCTTTTTGAAGTACATTTTTTCTGATCAGATGATAAAAAATCAACTTTGTTGAAGATTAAGATAAATAGATGAGATTGTGGAGAAGGAGTTTACGTTCAGCAGGATAAGTTACGAGTTATGTATGTGTAGAAATTTGACTACTTCACTAGTTCTGCACTTGAAGTTTTTTCTTCTCTGAAGATAATGATGGTTGTATGAAGTAGACATTTACTGAAACATTATCTGGTCTTTTATAAAAATATAATTTACCATAAAATAGTAGAACGAATTAATAAATTCATCAAAATTATAAGTGATTTACTGCTTAACTGGATAATTTAACGACTTGTCGTTTCGTTACTTATTTTCAATTTAGTAGTTTGTTTAAAAATGAATTCAAATTAGAGAAAGTCTGTTAGTAGTAACTGAAGTATTTTGAAAAATTGCATGACCGAAATCAGTACAATGATGGAAATGAAAT